TTCCACAAGAATTTTCAACAAAAACCAAGTCCTGAGACCATGCTTGGTCATGTTGTCCCTCGTGTTCCTTGACTGTTTTCGCATTTTCTTTGCTCACTTCACATAATTTTGTTTATTTGTCTTGATACTCTCGTCAGCATGGCCGCCAATTTAGGGGTCAATCACCCAATTTCAGACACACACCCCAATATCATATTGTTGGTGATATATCCCATAAAATATCCCCAATGTCATGGTCGGTCACTGTATAACTTACAATTTAAACCTCCATGGTTCAATCACTAGTTTTAATGCTGAAACCTCCACCAAATCCCAGTTGAATCCGCATTTTAACCCTAAATTATGGTTGAATCACTCGTTTGCATAGTTTTCTGCATAGTTCAAGTCCCATAAAATATACCATGAACTCCCATGAACGCTCCCATTAAAAATTTCACATTGAGAGGTGCCCCGGAGCCTTGGTTTCAGGACTTTGATGCAGTGGCCTTTGAACTTCCTGCAGCTTGGTGGCGATGTTTTTTCGGAACTGTAGAAGTTACCCTCTGGTAAACGCTTACAAACTATGGAAAATCATCATTTTGAATGGGAAAACTCACTATAAATGGCCATTTTCAATAGCTATGTTAGTTTACCAGAGGGTAACCCACTTGGATCAACCCAGATCAACTTAGTGAAACTTGGTGGGTGGTTTAGGGTTGAAGACCTGCAACGGATGATCAACATCTGATGTTTTTGAGGCTTTACTTGCTTTTTGTATGTTAAAAGCAAGTATCAAACAGTTTGCGTCGACCCAATTGTGACACACTGGTGTGGTCCCATTTACATGACACAATCCTAGTTTGCCGGGGGACGTTGGTGCGTCAGCTGTTATCTCCCAATGCTTTTTATTTTCCAGGGGATCATAGAACCCATTTACATTTCACCCCTTGTAACTCAGATAATCATCAGGATAGTCCCCAGTATATTCACGGTCACTAGTCAATCAGCCTCTGAAATCATTGGATAGACACATAATGACACTAATATTTGTGGTGTTTTTGTTTGTTACTTACATCCCGATGTGGATTTTCTAAGGCCGGCGCGTCCTTCTTGAGTGCCCCAGTTTTCTTTGGGATTCCCATCCTATCGCAGGTCGGGGGGTTGAGCGACATCATCGTGACTCAGCGTGGCGTCGGAGACTAAACCATAAGCTGTTACCGAGGTGATGCCATGCAGGCGTTGCTGGATGGCTAGATCAGGTACCCTCTGGTTATGACTAACATAGCTATTGAAAATGAGCATTTATAGTGGATTTTCCCATGAAAAATGATGATTTTCCATAGTTATGTTAAATTACCAGAGGGTAGATCCCAAAATCAAGGCTACCCTAAACTTTAACCCATGGTTGTTTCAAGAGGCTGATTTTCGATACCCATAGTAGGGTGATGGAGGGTGTGTCTGAGAATTATGCACACATACTGAATCGGGATATCGTCTCAGGGGCCAGGCTGGGCTGGTGAAGCAATAAAAAAAACTATGGCCGGCAAAATTTTGTGCCCCATTTTGCATAGATAAATCCACGTGTTTGCCAGGTATTGTTGGTTCAACCAGTTTTGTTCAATTTGGGGTGATTTTTTTCCATTAAAATCACAAAGTCTTGCCAAGTTTTGTAGGTTCACTATGGTTCACTCTCAATCATATCCCATCCCTTGGTATTTCTTCCGTGACTTCACTGAGGTTCATCTCTTGCATCGTCTTGCATAGCTTAGCGCCTGTACCTCAACGAACCTAAGGGCTTAAGGCCTTGAAGACCACCAAGCTTGTAGGGGTGGAATAGAATATTTGGAGGGTTAGAATAGGGGTACCCTCTGGTAAACTAACATAGCTATGGAAAATCACCATTTTTAATGGGAAAATCCACTATTAATGGCCATTTTTAATAGCTATGTTACTATGTTAAATTACCAGAGGGTACCAAAAAATCATCCAAGTCGACCATTTGATTTTAGTATTGAAACTCCACGTTGACTTGGTGATTCCCCACTGTAAGAAAACCATCATTTCATGGGATATTTCATGGGATGTAATGGGATATACAAGCGACACTCTGATTAATATGGATTTGTATATACCATCAGTTTATGATCTACCGATTAGTAGGGAAAGTTTTTAGTTTTAACCATGGGATTTTGGTGGGTATCCTGTTCTCAGGCAAACCCATTATTTAATATCCGGTAACTTAATATAGCTCTGGAAATGCACGTTTAGTTGATTTACCTACAAACAATGTGTTCTTTGGCATTCGTATGCTAAATTGCCAGAGGACACTATACGTTTATCAAATCCTCCTGTAATCAGACGAAAATCCACCTTTTGTATCCTTTTGTAGTAGTTCGATGATTTTCCCACTCACCCCTCCATTTAGTTTGGGGATTTCCCAACCATGTTTGATTGCCCAAAGGTATCCCCATGATATCCCTATTATATCCCATCAAATCACCATTTCTGTTGTTTCAATCCTATCAAGTAACCTCTTGTGTTGGTTCAATCCCATGAAATCGCCATGTTTGTTGGCCGAAATCACCGGAGGATTCCCCCAAAAAATGGTTGCCATTGGCTCATCCAGGCCATTCACTCAGCGATGCTGAGAGGGGAGGTTTCAGATTCGAGGACCAGACATGGAGATTGTTCATTTCACAGTCAGAAATATAGATGTTTGATAGTGATTCAGTGAATAATTCATGGGAATAGAATGGGATATACAATCAGATTGTTGAAGCCACTTGAAGCAATTTACGTAAATCTTATTGAAACACCTCAGGAATGGCGATTCAATGCCAGAAAGGAACACCATACTGTTGTTCGCCAGCACCTGCAAACAAATCTAGAGTGTTTCCAGTCCCACAGAGTTTGCACCGAACGCGTGAGAACTCACGAGCCATTGACCAAACTCGTGAGACGAACGCATCGACCGAACAAAAAAGTGACTTGTGTCCCATAATGATGACTTGTTGGTGGTGGTTTCAAATGTATCGAAAAATGCATTTCTACCCCAAATCCTTTTTTTTTGAAAACAAAGAAACGCATGAAACCGAAAAACTTTGTGCATGCTTCGTCCTTCAAAGTGCCATCAAAACAGTAGCTATATGCGTTAGCTTACGCACGCGAACACCTCATTTGAACCTTGGCAACAATCAGCAGTGCATTGGTTCCTGTTGGCTTCAAACTTTTTATTTGATTTGAAGGACACGTTGATAACCAAGTGGAGCTTTGTGATGTCATGGGCAATTGAAACTGTGGTGCTGGCGTGAAATGTCACCGGACACCTTGTGGCTTCCAACATCTTTTTCTCTGGAGTACATACACACACCCTGAAAGTCAAGATCAATTTTTTGAATTGAGTTTGTAACCCATTCCATCCCATTTACCTCTCGTGGACATGGCATGTTTATGCATGTCTATGCATTTTTGGATTCCAGCAATTCAACCTCTGTTGATGGGCCAGTGATTGGTTCATGGTTCTCACCCCACAAACACATCGTGCAATGGCGGCATAGCCCCTTGGATCGGTTGCTCACTGCTGGGAATCTTCGCCTCGTGGTTGCTCTTCGCCGACCAGTAAGGTTGTTCCGTGTCGTTGCCTCTGAAAATGGTCGTGTAACGATGTCTTGTTAGCCCTCTGAAAATGGTACTTGAAAAACCTGGCACCGTACATACTGATCTGTTGCTGGTTGATGTGGGTACTGCAACAAAATGCAGGGTATCCAAGATTGGTTGGGCTGAGGGTCGTTGCAACAGACATTGACTGATTTCTCAGTTGGATCGGCGGATACCACTAACAAGGTCTAAGAAGACTATCGGACCTCGAGTTCAAAAATCCCTTGCGCTCGCAACAACATCAAACTAATAGTTGAAGTAAGGCAACGAGGCATTTAAATGGATTTGATGTAGGTGTGTCATCGTATATCAATGTTCCGTACTTTGTGCACTTGCTATCCTCACAGATGCCCTGCTGCATTGGGCCTGGCCTCAGTATATAAGGTCTGGGCACAGTTACAACAAGATTCTACAAGATCCAAAGCTTTGAACATGCCTGTTGTCATCAGTTATCTATGTATCAGTTATGGTTTCTGGCTTATCCAATATCATCCAACCTAATCAAAACTAACGTAAGTTGACTACCCAATTATATATTATATATAATTATATATTATATATAATTATATATATATACCCAATCTCAAAATACAGCGATCCAAATCTAGTCTATAATCTAATCATATCTAATCTAATCATAGTCCACTCATAGTCCAATCTAATCTATTCGTTCTATTCGCTGTTGAACTCAGGATTTTCCGCATTCCCTGCTGCTCCACGGCCCCGGTGCCGTCTTCCGCGGAAGCCCCATTTTGAAGGAATGTTTGGACAGCAAAAGCCAAATCTCATGATCCAAGCCCAGAAGCTTCAGTTTTCGAAGGTGTTGTGAAAGGAAGGCTTGGAGAGCAATATTGTGAGGATGGCCAGAAGGAGAGGAAGGAGGAGACCCAAGGAGGACAGGAAGGAGCAGAGCAAGGAAGAGAGGGAAGGAGAAGAGCAAGAAGGACTGCAAGGATGCAGGCAAGGAAGAAACAATCAATTTTCGAAACCACAGTTCCAGGCGCCCTGGCACAGCGCAGCCCTGGGAGGTGACGGCCGCGGGGTCCCAGTGGCAGCTGCGTGGAGATGGGGCCATGTGGCTGGCGGAGAGGGACCAGTTTCAGGTGGGTAGTGAAGGATTTGACCGACAGGGAACTTGGGGAATTTAAGGATAGAAAATCTAGTTTGACCAAATATTTGGTCCATAGGCCGCTTTTTGAAGATCGTTCGATCAAAGATGATGATGTTCCGATGATTGTTCATCGCTAAGTTTGCTTTCACTGGATAGGGTAGTTTTTGGTGATTCTTGATGCCACTTTCCACCAGGTCCCCCTTCTTTGCAGGTGGATTTCTATCTTTGCCCCGAAGCTGCCATGGGCCATAAA